ATCTATTGCCATTCTTCCATTTAGATTATGTGTAAACAACACATTATCTAATGCATTATCTTTTGAACCAAGTTTGCTGAGAACTCCATTCTTCCATTTAGATTATGTGTCTCTATTACCCTCCTCATCACCTCCCCTCACCACAGCCACAGGGTCAGCCTGGACTTGTGGATCGGCATGGAAGTGAATGGCCAAAAAGAAGATTAGCTTGCAGATCGGACTTGGCAACCAATGCCTGCAGCGCAGCAGTGGTGGCCTGGTTTAGGACTCTGGTATATGTTCTTCTAGTCAATATGCATCTGCCACTGTGCATTGGGGGTATCATATTTCTTTCCCCTGTCACCCTGTACTTACTGAATGCTCGAACTGGTGTTCTGGATTCTTCTCTTTTATCAGTATGAATCCACCACTGTCTTTATTTGAGATGACTGTAGACTGTCTTTGTTTTGCATAAGTACTGATTTGCAGAAAGCATATTCATCTCCTACTTACACTGGACTTTTCTTGAGTGGAAAAATGATTTTAATCAACATATACAGAACTAGTGTTTTACCAGTGTTCTAGTAAGTTTTGCTGAGCTGTGAGCAGGTACTTGCCTCTTTGCTTCATTTATTTGTGCTCAAATGAAACCAGGGGTACAATTGTCTTTTCAGATGGCTAAAACAGATAGAAGGGAGTCAAATGGGTGAGATAGCAAGGAAACCAAGGATACAATGTTGAGACTGACCATAATGCGAGGTTCATGTTGGGAGTGTCAATTTTGCGAAGGCTGTTGTTGGTAGTGGTATATTTAAAATCTTTCTTGTATATGTAGTACACGATTTTGTATACTATTGAAAGTTTGAAAGTAGTGTATGAATGGTTAATGTTCAATGCTAAATGCTGAGTGGGATGCACATATGCTGAGTACTTGAGTGTGTTCTTGTGATAATGAGAATCACTACTAATTCCAGAGTAGTAATAATACTTTCACTATTATACCATAGTAGTACTTTAATAGCCAGTGTTGCAGGATAATCAATGATGAACGCTGGTTCTAAAGCGCACTTAAACTGAAACTGTTCGAACACATACAAGAAATGAAGCAGACCTTTGATAACTAGTAGATTTTTTTTTTGCATCGCTCCTGTGTCAATTATGCATAAAGTAACAGGACTTTGTCATGGCACAAAATCTACTGTCATAAAGATTTTGGAATAAAAACGAATAAGTCATGATTTGCACAAATTCTGCTGTGCTCAAATGAAACGAATAAGTTGTGACATGTAGATACTCATCACATATCTAAGTACTTGATCTAGTTGAAGAGTCAATGGTGACAAGCTTGAACTCAACAAGATAATCGCCACACGGTGGTGAAGAAACTTGAAGATCGTTCAAACCACAACTTGAAACTTGTGTAAATCATCTAGAAAATAGTTACATTGTGAAGATGACCAAGCTTTTGGAAAGGAAGCTCATGGAAACAATCTAGTTCAACAAGAAGACAACAATGTAAATGGATCATTCTCTCTCGCCATCACAAGTGGTATTCATCTCAAGTGTAATGTCCAAATGTTTCTCCTCCATGAAGTTTCAACATGAAGATCATTATTTTTGTTGGCAATTGATGGAAAGGTGTGTGTGTGGGGGTGGGGGGAGGGATTATGATATACAAAGAAGCAAAAGAATTTGGATTTGGATATACCAGAGGGAGAGAGATATGTCAAAAGGGAAGAAGAAGTAATATTTGGAGATTGAAGGGGATAAAAAAATTCATCTCAGGATGCACATATCAAGGGGGAGCAAAGTTCATGAACATAGAAATGTTTATGCATATTTGTTTGAGCATTGCACTTAGATTTATGATAAAATGTTAGTTGTGTGATGCTTTGCTAGAATATGCTTTGCTTGATGTGATGAGAATCAAATACAGAAGTTTAAATTCCTTTGTGCTCTAATATCTTGTTTTAAGTATTTCAAGTGGTATCTAGAGGATGGTGGTACTAAGGATGTTTTACACTATATGAGCGCTGCAAAGGTATGTCTACATACCTTGCCTCATTTAGTAGTAAAAGCTCTCCCAAACCCATATTCATACATATGTGCAAGAGTTAAACCCAAACCTTTAGCACATATAGGGAGGGTGTTCGCTACAAGTTTAGTTTTGAAACACCTATCCTCTCTAGTTCATGTGTTGCATGCTATGCATAAGTGCTGCAAAACTCATGTTTAAGTCCACAATATACCTTGTGTATGGAGTTGGCTTGAAACCCAAATTCTGTAACTCCTTGGTATAGGTTGTCACCAATTAAAAAAAGGGAGAGATTAAAAGCATCTAGGCCCCCCTATTTGGAGCTTGTTAATTGAATGCCAACATTAGTTGAAGACTTTTTTTATTTGAAATCATTTAGGACTTAGAAATGCGGGTTTATGATTAATGATTTTAAAATTCATATTTTTGATTTTTTTAGAATGATCTCGGATGGAGAAATGACCTAAACCAAAGTTCTAATACTGGATATTTTAAAAAAAACGGTACTAGATTCATATTTTTCTAGTTTAAGAAAAAATATGAATTATGTTTAGAAAATAGAAAACCACCTATGAGATCAACGTGAACCAAATTGGTTCGGTTTCAATAGATGAGAAGGGTGTCTATTACTTGACTTCGTAGTTTAGGGTTGAAATCAGACTGACATGTAATTTTAAAGTTGAAAAATATGCTCTATCCATTTAGTAGGGATGAAAACGGATCGGATACGAACGGATATCACTCATATTATATTTGTTTTCATATTTCTGTTCGGATTCGGATTCGGACACGGATAGCGTTTAGATACATATACGAATACGGATTGACTCGGTTACGGATACGAATAATGAGTATCGAATACGGTATGAATCGGATTCGGAGAAGGTCGGATACAAATATCTATTCGGATATTGAGTAAAAGCAGCATATATATATATATATATATATATATCATACGTGCGCAAACAATTACACCACTCTATGAGTCCATAATCCATCTAGATTAAGCCGAAAGACTAAAGAGTAAAGCAACAAATAAGATAAAGATACAGATACATCATACATCGAACATCATACAAGCATCAATCTTCGCGGCATGAGTAGAAATAGCCAAGCTCATGGCTTTATGAGTCCCATGGAGTCATGGTCATGGATTTAAGATCTACAATCCTTATATAGGCCATTTTTTCATTTGAGAAAGTTTGAACAAAATGTAGTTCAAATTTCATAAATGTGTGACATAGTTTTAGAAAGTCTGTATGAGATTCAAGAATTTGTGACTAGTGTTTGATAAAACTTTCTCAAATGGGAAAATGAGCTATGTAACAATTGTAGATCTTGCTGAGATGATCAAACTTGGTATTCAGAGTTTTTTCATCTGAGGTCATTTAGTGTCTCATTTGAGCAAGTTTGACCAAGTCAAATTTGGTCAAATGAAAAAACAACACTTTAACTCTAGTATTATGAACTCTAAATGACTTCAAATTAAAAAGTTTTGAATACCAAGTTTGTTCAACTCATCAAGATCTACAATTATTGTTTTGGTCAACTTTCCATTTGAGATAGTTTGGACGGTTCAAATTTGTGATTTTTAAATTTCGATGCTTACAAACTAGTTTTTGGAACCCTAGATTATCTCAAATTGAAAAGTTTTGAATACCAAGTTTGTTCAGCTCATCAAGATCTACAATCCTTATATAGGCTATTTTTCATTTGAGAAAGTTTGAACAAAATGTAGTTCTAATTTCACAAGTGTGTGACATAGTTTCAGAAAGTTTATATGAGATTCAAGAATTTACGACTAGTGTTTGATAAAACTTTCTCAAATGGGAAAATGAGCTATGTAACAATTGTATATCTTGCTGAGACGATCAAACTTGGTATTCAGAGTTTTTTCATCTGAGGTCATTTAGTGTCTCATTTGAGCAAGTTTGACCAAGTCAAATTTGGTCAAAAGAAAAAACAACACTTTGACTCTAGTATTATGAACTCTAAATGACTTCAAATTGAAAAGTTTTGAATACCAAGTTTGTTCAACTCATCAAGATCTACAATTGTTGTTTTGGTCAACTTTTCATTTAAGATAGTTTGGATGGTTCAAATTTGTGATTTTTAAATTTTGACGCCTATAAACTAGTTTTCCATTTGAGAAAGTTTGGACGGTTTAAATTTTGAAGCACTAAATGATTTCAAACGAAAAAGTTGTAAACAACAAAGTTTCATAACTTTTTGAGATCTACAATTTTTATTTTGATCATTTCTCCATCCAAGGTCGTTTGAATAATATCCGGATAATATCCGTTTTTAAATATTCGGATATATCCGATACTTAACCGGATTATCCGATATCCGCCGGATATCGATGATATTACATCCGTATTTGATATCCGCCTAAGATATCCGTTTTAGTATCCGTATTCGAAAAAAATTACGGATATCCAAATAACTATCTAGATAAGTGTTCATATTTATTCAATCGAACGGACGGTCGAATAAATATCCGTACCGTTTTTATCCGTACCATTTAGGAAAGCTCAAGAAGAACTTAATAAAACCTCAGCTATCTGGTCTCTGTATACAACTAGTGATATCATCTGCCCGGCTACTATCGCTTCGCCCCCGATGTAAAACAAGGAAGGCTCCCAAATCTCCGCTGCAAATCCCATCGGGTTCCGCCCCCGCCCCGTTCTTACCATCGCCCTAACCAGCCGCACTCTTCTCGCGCGCGCCGCACTTGGCCGCCCGCCGCCATCGCCCTTGCCGTCACGCGCCGCCCTCGCCATGGAGCCGGCGGTGCGCGCGCTGCTGGTGGGGCTCGGCGACGACGACCGCCGCGATGGGCTGCGCTAGACGCCCAAGCGTGTCGCCAAGGCCTTCCGCGACGGCACCCGAGGTATGGCGGACGCACGGCTTCCCCTTCCATTTTCCCGCTCCCCTGATTTCTTGGATCCATCGGTAACAACAGTTTCCGTGCTTTGTGCCAAAAATGGTGTCCTCCCCGATCCGTGATTGCCCTGGCGGACGAGCCCTACCTCCCCTCTGGCGAGTACCCCCGAGCAGAGGATGGAGGTTGAAGACAACTCGGCTACGGGGCACGGCCGGACGGGCCCGCGCGTATGCGGCCGGTGGGCAGCAGCAGTCGCGGCTGCACGGTGTGAAGGTGGGCATGGATGGCACACCCTACCTCAGGAAGGTGGACATCAAGACCAACTCTAGCTACGAGTGCCTCTCCATGGCGCTCGAGAAGATGTTAGCTGCTTCATCACTTGTGAGTGGTGTTCAGGTCTATGCCTCTGTTTGATGCGTTTCCCTATTGCAATTACATAACCCAACAGTGCTGCGCCGTTCACTGCCATTTTAGGAGCTTATTGATTGGATCCGTTGCCAGAAGTGCTTTGTGATGTACTACAGTACTAGACTTAGTCTGAAAGCTAGGAAGTGCTTGAATAATTATTGTCGAATAAAAGTGGCTGTCTTGAAGCAAAGACTGTAAGATACATAAGACTTGCATGAAGATAGCATTCATAGAGCGAAGCGTTATACATATATGGGCCTTGATTAGATTGCAAATTTTTACAATCTGGACACTGTAGCACGTTTCATTTGTATTTGACAAACTTTGTCCGATCATGGACTAACTAGACTCAAAAGATTCGTCTCGTGATTTATAACTCAAACTATGTAATTAGTATTTTTTTTTCTACATTTAATGCTCCATGCATGCGTCCAAAAATTGATGTAATGGACAGAGAGTGAAAAAACTTGGAATTTTGAGGCAATCTAAACAAGACCATGATCGTAAACTACTGCATTGAAGTTTGCTGAACCAATAAGAATTCTCTCAGATGACATGGTTGTTCGAATGACAAGAAAAAGTTTGTTGATTGGCAGGAAAGTATATGTCTCAGTGCAAACTCGCTACTACTCGGAGGGCGTGTGGTGGGGCATGGTCGAGTGGGATCGGAGGGCCCTGCCCGCTACGACTGGGGAGGCCTACGCAAAGCTCGTGCGCATGGTGAAGCGCTCTGGCCTCCACATCCGGGTCGTCACTCATGTCCTTCGCCTTCCAGCAGTGCGGTGGCAATGTCGGCGATACCTGCAAGTAATCATGTCCATTACATAAATCACCCTGCCTGGGTTTTGGTAGCTGTAGCAATCAAGCTGATAAATTTGCCAGTAGATTTGTTGTGAGCTGAACTCTTGATGCTCCAGAGTTGAGATTTCACAGTGTAAATTCTACTGTGATGTTGAGGATTTTGAGGAACCAATTGTTGTGCTTAGCTTCAGCTCAAATAGAGGGTTACTGGGTTCTGTAGACGGTTACTATGTTGGGGCCCCTTAATCTGGAGTTTCTCGCTTTTCATTTGTTGGCCCTTGCACATAAAAAGGACATTATGATGTATGTGCCATGTATCATCATTTCGCTTGAATGAGAAAATATTTGATTAAAATAAGAGATTGAGAGTCAATGCTCTCTGGTGATACTAAGTTACCCTGTAAATGAATATGAACCTCTGAACTCTAATTCCCAAAAATAACTGACCATACTAATTTATGTGCCCTACTTTGGCTTTGGGTCAAGTAAATTGGATTGATCGTTCTATTGTTAGCACCCAATAGTCTTAGGGGCTTAATTCAGGGTTCTCACATTTAGCTCAACCAATCATTTTTAGATAATAGCTCAACCAATCATTGGTGCTGATTTTAAAAAATTTACAGTCCATGACTCAATTTTGTTAGGAATGAGATGATCTCCGCAGTTCATCTTTCATAGCTCAAAAGAGCATCATGAGAGTAATATTCTACGATATTATTTGCAAAAAAGGTGACAGTCAGCTGCACCTAAAGGACCCTTTCCTCTTTCCTTTGCCATTTCCTTACTATTATTTACTAGGAGTATAAATTTTTCCTGTGAAAGAATTCAGATATAGTTTGCAAATACGAATATTTGACAGAAAGTCCGAGGTACATGTCACTTTGCTTCAATTGGAACAGGAGGCATGCATGTTTTTTCCTTACTATTGTTCACTTTGATATAACTGACCTAAAACAAAAGGCATGCATGTTTTTTTTTAAAAAAAATCCCAACAGATTGATCAAACTGTTGTTTGCTTGTTGGAACTATGCAACTTTACATCATATTTTTGGTGAGGTATGCAGCCTAAAGAAATATTCCCTGTTCTCTTCTCTTATAATCCGTCTTTTTCGGCTTGTTTTTTCAGCCGGAACAGTGATTTTCTCTCACAACGAATCAGCCGGAACAGTGTTTCGGCTTTGTTTTTTCAGCGAAGCGAACAAGGCCAATTGTCATTTGTTTTCATCCACTGTAAATGCATTGTGTGCTCTAAACTGCAGTCAAAATTGCTCTCGTCCTTGTCTTTGATATTTTCGTTTCAGCACTATAACCTGCTGAAGATAGTGAATCAATGCGTTCTACAGTTTCAAGTGACTCCGTGTTCACTGTTTGATGAGTTGGGAACTAACTGTGAGCACATTTATATAGATATCACAGATGCAGGTGATCACAAATTTGCCCATCTATGTAAAGCATGCAAAAGAGAAACTGCTAAAGATGGTGTACTACTGGCTAAGTCTCCGGGTTCAGTCTCTGACAAAGTCAAGAACAAGCTGTTTGCTCGTCAGAAGACCTTGCATGGAGTTCTGGGTGGTGGAAAGCATATGTGGTCTGCTTATTGGTATATATGTCGAAATTTGATTGGTGGGCTGCTACTATGATTGGAAGCTGGTGCAATTTCCTGACAGTCGTATATAACTTGCATTCTTGTCAGCCACAATCTCACATTTTCATCAATCGCCACTAAGAAACAATACCCCGTTCCTATTTAACGAATGCACGCATTTCAACATATGCGGTATTGACAAAGATGTTGGATTACCTAGAATAAGGTTTGTTTGTTCTTGCACACACTTCATGTGCTCTATGAGAAGTACAAAAAAGTCCGATGAAATTATCGTGGCATTGTTTTTTCCTTTTGCAATCCACGGGCACGATCCTAATCACGATCCTAGTGGACAAATATAAACCTTAACAGTGAAATCACGTACTTCCTCCGTATTTAAATTTTTATGGCCGTTGACTTCTGGACAAAACCTTGAACACTCGTCTTATTAAAAAAAAATACTTTAAATATGGAAAAGTATAAGCCATTCTCAAAGATCATTAATACTTCAAGATAAGCTTGACTTATACTGTAGTTTTACACATTTCCATTACATTTTTAATAAGACAAATGGTCAAACTTTTGTCAAGAATCAATGGCAACAGACATTTAAATATGTAGCGAGTATTTGGCTAATCAGGGCATGTACAATCCACAGACAGCTTGCGTTTGTACGATGATGTCACACCACGTAAAGACACCTAAATAGACAGCGCGCACAACCCATTGTCCGCATGGCTACACAATCAATCGTAAATAAGATTTGTGTATACCATTGTGTTGCTTGTTGAAAAAAAGAAAAATCAAGCACAAATAAGATGAGCATGGTTACACTATCTTTTGGAAACATAAATATAAATGATATTCGAATATATTTATATTAATGTAATAGAACAAAATTTTCATAAATCAAATAAAACATAATATGACTAAACAAGGAAAGCTTCGCTGTTGTTCACATGCACAAGAAAACAAAAAGATTCACACATGTTCATACCAGACGCAGTAGCTTGACAGAGTCCAGGTGGAAACTTCACAGTAGAATTAGGATCTTACTTTTGGGCAAGAAGGAAACTAAATCAGTTTTCGCATCCAAAACATTGAACAACTTCTACGTTCTGAGGTAGTTGCTGCTCCTGCCGCCGTGCTGCATGCTGTTGTTCTCAGCAAGCCGATGGATCTCCATAGCCACCTTTCGTCGAGCACCTCCTTTACATCAGAAACGCCGACTAAGCCAGAGGGTGTCGCGCCTGGAGACGCTATCTGAAGAGGTGCTGGACAATGAACAGGGAGAAGAGGCGTTGGAAGAAGAAGGCGTCTTCATATCTACGTTTATGTATTTATAATAGCTGTTTTACATGTGTGTCGCTGTTTTGTGGACCCGAGTGGTCAGACTTGTAAGGGGAATAAAATACCCCGATCCCTTCTGTAAGAACTATCGAACTCGTATTCAGTAAAACTGAAACTCGCCAAGGCAGAGGGCTTGCCCTGCCGGCGACCTCGTTCCGTATATCCGCTGCGTTCGTGCTCACGTCGGCGGCGATCCCTCGTCGGCGGCCAAGGGTGTGACAAGTGGTATCGGATTCGACTATCCTTGGCGTGGGTGCGGAGCTTCACCGCTCATCATCAGCGTCAATTATCGGCTCTTCGCTGGCTATCTCCGATCGGTTTCAGGTGACAGATCCATCCAACCATCCATCAACCCATCCATCTAGCGCAGATCCACTATACCTCTCTTTCCCCCATACCGCCGGGTTTCTGTTCTACAGCTTGTGTGTCGATCACAATCTGTAAAATCCAGTGGGCAGGCTCTGCTTGGGTCACGCCTCATAGGTGTTCGACCAAAGTACCCAGAGGTCCCTCTTTTGGTTGATTGGGTCACCACTAGCCGTAAACAACACCTTCCACCAAATCTATACACAATCCTAGTCAAGATCTGTCACCTTCTTCGGCTAATCATTCAAGTGGGGGACTACATCGACACCTTGGGTTTGGCGGCGTGAACCGTGGGAGCAGCATCTATTCTGTTCCATCTGATCACTTTGGCAAGTTTGAGTATACAACAAGGGTTGTGGGGCGGTGTCCTCACGTAAAATTCCGGCGTTGCTTAAGGTCAGATTGGTGCGGTGGTGTTGGCGGGAGAGTGTCCTTGGGCTCGGGTTTCGAGGCGTGTCCTCGTGTAAAATTCCAAGGCTCAGCCTCACTCTCAGGCGGCGGTGTAGTGCCTGGCAACAGTTGGGGAGGAATCATCCAAACCAGTTGCTCGCGCACGGCCTTCTTGAATTGTGTTCACTGTGGCTCCAGTCAAGCCATCTAAGCAGACATCTCTGCTGTTGGACGCCATGTCCAGGAAGTCTGACGAGGAGCATAATTTCATGGAGAGGGTCATGGACCAGTTTGATCTGTTGGTCACACAAGTCAACGAGATTGGTGCCACCTAGACTTAGATGAAACAACAAATGGATATTCGAGCTGCTGCCATGGATGAGTACACCAGTGAACAACATCTTATTGCTCAGCAGGTGCGAGCCAATGGGGCAGCTGTAGCCCAACTGACATTGCAACAATTTGATCAAGGAGAGATGTACAAAGATGGGGAGTTCACATCTGTCACCTCAGA